GACCCAAAATGTCAACTTTCCTGCTCCTCTGTTGCCTGGCCTGCTGTGTTCCTCCAGCTCCACACTGTGTTATCTCTGACTGCAGCATCGGCAGTTCTTACTATCTCTGCGATACTTGCATGTCAGTCGTCAGTGATTTATTGACAAGGACACCCAAGTCCTTTTTGTACATCTCAATTTTCCAATCTCTTCCCATTTAGAAATGTGCTGCATATCTATTCGTCCCACCATCTGGCCTAAAAGATGATCGTGGCTATTGTTGGCTAAGCATGTTCGTCCCCAGAACATCGCTATGGGCGCAAATGAGCTCATTGACCTAAGATTAACTAACCACAGCTCCTTGATGAATACCTGTGGCAATGGGTCAACTCCGAGGCCAGTGATCCTGCATAGAACATGGAACAGAACAGCACAGAAACAGACCCTTCAGCCCATGATATTATGCTGAGCATGATGCCAAATTAAACTAATCCCTTCTGCCTGCCCTTGGTTTATATCCCTCCATTCCTTGCATATTTTATGTGCTTATCTAAAAGTCCCTTAAATGCCCCTCTTGTACCTGCCTCCACCACCACTGGCAGCACGTTGCAGACTCCTACCGCTCTGTGTAAAAACTTACCCCTCCCATCTCCTTTTGAACTTTGCCTCTCTCACTTTAAATACATGTCCCCTGGTATTAGACATTTCAGCTCTAGGTAAAAAGATTCTGACTGTCAACCCTATCTATGCATCTCCTAATTTGATAGACTTCTATCAAGTCTCCCCTCAGCCTCTGCCACTCCAGAGAAAACAACCTGAGGTTTTCTAGCCTCTCTTTATAGCTCACACGTTCTAATCCATGCTGCATCCTAGTAAACTTTTTCTGCACCCTCTCCAAAGCCCCCACTTCCTTCCTGTAATGTGGCAACCAGAATTGAATGCGATACGAAGTGCAGCCAGACCAACCTGTTGACTGGCTCACCTTTTGATCTCCCGCTGTATATTGTACATCCATAAGACACAAGTCAGGAATGTGATGGAATTCTGTCCACTTGTCCAGATAAGAGGTCACTGCTACAACTCCACCCTGAAATATGCTATCCAGGACAAAATAATCTTTTTCCTTTTATGGCAGAATCCAGAACTCAGGATCACTGCTAAATATAGGGATACCATCTAGGACAGAGATGAGACTTTTTTTAAGATGGTTGTGAGCCTTTGGATCTCTCTTCCTTAAAAGGTGGTGGAAACAGCCTTTGAGCATTTTTATGTTAGGGGTGGATTAGCCCAGGATAAACGAGGGAGTGAAAGGTTAGCGAGGGGGTCAAGGGGAATGTGGAGTAATCAGATCTTCCACAAACTTATTCAGAAACAAAACACAGAAATTGCTGGAAAAGCTCAGCAGGTCTGGCGGCATATATGGAGAAAAATCCGAGTTAACATTGCGGGTCCAGTGATACTTCTTCAGAACGGATTTCTGTCCACAGATGCTGCCAGATCTGTAGAGATTTTCCAGAAATTTGTGTTTTTGTTTCTGATTTCCAGCATCCGCAGTTCTTTCTGGTTTTTTGTTTATACTTCTTATTCAGTGCAGACTCAAGGGGTAAAATAGCATTCCACTGTTCCTAATTTGAATTCACCTGCTGCAAAGCTTTAGATATTTATTTAATAGAATCATAACCATGGAATCCCTACAGTGTGGAAACAGGCCCTTCAGCCCAACAAGCCCACACCAACCCTCGGAGCATCCCACCCAGACACCTCCTGCTTAACCCACCTAATCTACACACCCCTGAACACTACAGGCAATTTAGCATAGGCAATCCACCTAACCTACACATCTTTGGACTGTGGGAGGAAACCGGAGCACCCGGACGAAACCCACGCAGACACGGGGAGAACGTGCAAACTCCACACAGACAGTCGCCCAAGGCTGGAATCGAACCTGGGTCCCTGGCACTGTGAGGCAGCAGTGCTAACCACTGAGCCACCGTGCTGCCCCGCTGCCCCATTATTTAATAGCTAGTTTATTTCCAATCACAGCACTGTCGTGAGTCACCATAGATACAACTTCCTTCAGCATTCCACAGTGAATTGTAAAGGAGGTGGGAGTGTGGATTTGTGGTTACATTCAGATCCACCAGGATCTTATTAAAGGCTGCAGCAGGTTCAAGGAGTTGAATGGTTGACCCCTCCTGCTCATGTGTATATTTACATGAAACCACATCATTGGCCACCATCCACTGCCTGAAAACTTCACTGTCTCTGTGCCCAATGCAGTACACTGTGTTCATTGTATACAGCATACATTGCAATAAGTTTCCAGGCACCTTCAGGAGCATTTCCACCATCTGTAACCCTCCAATTAAAGAATCCAGCCTCATAGAGAGGGACTTGCAGGTGTTGGTCTTTCTAAGTCCTGCACCATCCTATCACTCCTGGTCACCGATTCAAAATACCTGTGGCACTCCACTTAAGAGCACCATGAGAGTACCTTCACTGCATAGACCAATAGATACCCAGAAGATGCCCTTGGGATGGGTAATACTTGCTGGCTTTGCCGAAAATGGCCATATCCTATGAATTGATGGAAACAAAAAAATTAGCAACTCTCAGTCATATTCCTGTTGTCTCTGTTTAGAAATTTTTTTTTCTTGGCTGCAAATGCTTTTGGGATGCCCTGCAATCAGGAAAGGCATGGTATAAATGATTTTTTTTTTGTGTGATTGTATAAAACAATCAGCATTGGGAATGTGAAATGAGCTGCGTACTTTGTGTTGCTGGTTTCTACTGTCTGTCAAAGTGAAATGTGTTTCCTGTTGATTTTCAATTTGTGCTGAAGTCTGGCTCATTTGCTATAAGTTAATTGCAGTGTATCAATAAAGAAAGTGCTATTCTGTCACACTGTGCAACCATTATGCTAACTGCACATTTTAAGAAATAAGTATTTAAGTAGTTGGGATGTTCATAAATGAAAAGCACCAAACACAGCATATTATTATGCTCATTTCACTTATTTTAAAACATGAAAAAAATTGAGAATCTGGAAACCTGAAATAAGAAGACCATTATCAAAATGGCAGATTAGTCAGCGCATAAAAATCATACAGATGACCAAATGGATTCCTGAGAAGACAGGTTTGTTATATGAGGAGAGATTGAGTCAATTGGGCCTGTATTCTCAAGACTTTAGAGCCATTGCATCTGTTTCCATGCTGTCTGACTCTTTGGTCCAACTTGTCCATGCTGACCAGGTTTCCTGTACTGACCAATCCCATTTGACCCATATCTGTCTAAGCCTTTTCAATCCATGTACTTTAGAAGAATGAGAGGAGTTGTCATTGAAATGTAAAGAATTCCGATAGGACTTGACAGACGGAATGCAGAGATGATGTTCCGCCTGGTTTTAGGGGTTTACAAGAAGTTTATGATCTCAAGATGAGAGGTGGATCACTTCAGACAGTG